CTTCATACTTTTACAGTATTACAACTGTGTATTTACTTATTCTTAACATAGCTCACACACACATTCTCCATAACACATTCCAATGTTATAAACATGACCAATTTTCTTGTAAGACTTGGTTCAAAATGAATTCCAACAAGACAAATCTATAAATCTCAACTAGCTTGAAAGAATGGTATAATCAGCACCATCTTGACATGTGCACTGAATTCACGGAAACACTTTATGGCAGAAACAAGATACTAAAACAATACAGAATAACGGTGGAGCCGATCACTAATATCACAGAGCATAGGAGGTGTGCGACCCAAACTAACATGCTAACCTTAGCATGCTGCTAAAGCCGTAAACAAATACTTACAAAAGTGTAATTTACTGTACTACACAATGTTGTACGCTTTCACTTTCCAACCGTAATGGTTAGTCTATGCTATATAATGGATGTGATTGCTATTATATTCTATTTCGGGCACGATACGAACCTGTAAACAGGAGAGAAATGATCAGACAGGGAGACGTGGCTTGCCGTTTCCTGAATACTCCGCCATTATGAGAAAACAGCGCGGAGCATGCGCTTCAGGCTGCTAACAACAGGCCAAACCATGGTCTCACACTGCCACCTATTGGTATAAAAATGAAGCGTCCGCTACAAATATCCCAGGGTAGTTACCAAGTTTCCTGTTACAATTACTGTAGTTATTTAGGGCATTTCCAAATGGAAATATCACTTACATTGAAAGTGAAATTACTTAAATTAATTCACATAAATGTGATCACACATTAGTGGGTATCACATTCGCACTAAAGTAAAAACCACCATCACTTCATGCGGAGACCCCTTTGGCGCCAGCGGCAAGGCTGGAGCTGAACAAAACACCCTGATAACGACTGTGTTGAGTCTGTTCCTTCCCATTCCATGCAAGGCCACCTGGGTTAGCTGGAAGACTGTTTACTTAGCCTGGCAGGGTGAAGGACTCTGTCTCAGCTGAACTATGGACACACACACACTGATCCCCCCTCCCTTTCCAAACGCCTTCGATGCTTGACGCAGGTATGCTGCAGGACCAGATGTGCTGTCTACACCGGCTCTCTCTTACCCTTTACCCGCCCCTGTTGCTTGTCTTGTGTTTCTATGGTGTATTGATAGTCATGTGCTTTTTGTGCTGAGGTGTTTTTCTGTTATCAAACTGTTCTCCCACTAGGAGCTCAGTCTGAGTGGAGTTTTTTTCTCCTCCTCTTACCTCATGTAGTGTATTTTCGTTGTTTTTTCCCATCAGCCTATCTTTCTGCCATGTCTCCCCAATGTGATGTTTGTGTAAAGTTGGTCAAAAGGTTCCTTTGTAAGTGCGCATGCGCCATTAGCGTGCTGCCTGCTGTAACCCTGATTTCCTTCGGGATTAATAAAGTATTCTGATTCTAATTCTGATCTCATGTGATAATTGTGATGATAATAATAAAATGATGTCATCTCCTCACAGCTCAAACGTGGCCTCCTGGTGAGTCGTGTTGAGCAAAAGGAGGATCACGTTCTGGTGTACTTAGAGGAGGTAAGTGAAAGTCACCGTGGGGACACCAGATGATGATCTTTGGTACAAACTGTGTCTGCGATTGTTTCTGTCTCGTCCAGTTATCAAAGGACACAGCCATCAACCACAGCTTAGAGATCATCCAGGAGCTCCCAGTGGACAACCTGAAGCCAGCTGTGGTCAAGATCTATGACTACTACCAACCAGGTCCAAGTCTAACTAAGCTTTACTCCAACAGCACACTGACACACTTCAGAGGATCCATCAGACTGAACAGTTCATACAAGCTGATGTTTCCATCAGTGACTCAGAAAAATGACACGTTCATGTTTCTCTACCATGTTTCTGTCAGGTGACCAGGCTGAGACCCAATACATGTTTGTCTCGTGAGCTGCAGGTACGAAGCTGTAACAACACACAAGGACACCTTTCACACATGTTCATGTTCACAGCATCAATGCAAAGAACTTTGAGCTTTTACTAACTTGTATTCTTCGTCTCACAGTTTGAAGAAGCTGTGGCTGGTCCTGAGGTTTAAACCTGCATTTGAATAAAGATACTTTTTCTGCTCACATGTGTGTAAGCGTGTGTGTTAACAGCTCCAGTATTATCAATGCTTCTTTAATAACAGGCTTCATTATTAATAATCGGCAGAATGGAAATTATAGTGCTGTGAATGCACCGCTGAGACTGGCCTCATGCCACATTTCTGTCTTTGTGCAGGTTTAGACAAAAACAAAAAGGTGCAAGTGGGCAACAAGTGGGCAACAAGTGGGCAACAAGTGGGCCACAAGTGGGCAACAAGTGGGCAACAAGTGGGCAAAACATTAAAAAAGCTAAACGTGCTCGTGGGAGACATTCAGTGACAGCTGGCAAGTGACGTCCACGGACCACGAAAAAAACACACTATATCGGATTCGTATCGGTATCGGCAGATATCCAAATTTATGATATCGGTATCGGACATAAAAAAGTGGTATCGTGCCATCTCTAGTATTAATCACATATTTAATCACATCTCATTAGTTATAGTAATATCACTTTCTCACTTTACCATAGTGAGAGCACTCCTGTCACTAGTTTACATGCATGTGGAAAGTTACCACAGTGAGGCCGTTGTATTGGGAGACGTTAAACAGATATTGGGACTCCTGCTTATCAGGGATGTAAATCTTTAGGTGACGGCCAAGCAGAAAACAAGGTCATAATTCTCTCTGTGAGGGAGGAGGTATAGCCCCCTGTGAGAGGGGGGGCTATACCAACATGTGAGAGTCTGTGGATGTTCTTTGTCTGTGTGTCTGTATAGAAGATGTAAGGGCGGTGGCCACAATTCAGAGATGGTCCTGGTGTTTCACTGGGATGCTCTCTCCACATTGCAGTGTGTTTATTAAACCCACAAATCAAGCTCACTGACTGTGTTGCAGGTTATTGTTAAATTTTCCAATTTGGCGTTGTCGGCAGGATTCCTCCGGTGAGTTTCGCTGAATCACGGGCACGCAGTGACTGGCCATCCGGAGGTAAAATGGCCTCAGTCCCACCGTTGTTTTCAAAAAGGGGAACCGTGGTGTGTACTTCAGCGACTCACACATGCAGGAATTTTTAAAAGAACCAAGAGAGGCACTGAAAAGGATCTGCAACGGTGAGATGTTTTGATTTGGGAGCATTTTCAATGGGACCAACAGGGAAAGCCTCGCTTCCTTACTGCTGCAATTATTGGGTGCAGGTTTCTAGAAACTCAGTTTGGGTATTCTAGTGGGTATTCTTGTTGCAGTGGTAAGTGCAGGATCTTCGAAGCTCAACAAGTTCAGCCTTCTAGTGTATGGTCTTTTAGCACTTTTGCACCAGCAAAAAAGGCAGAAAGGCCGGACAGCAGATGCGCTTGTTCGTACAATGGATGCTGGGCCCAGCAAATGGGGGCGTCCCTGCAGGTGGTCCGGGTGAAAACCCAATTTTTATTTTTTTTATCTTGTTTTACTTTAATTCTTTGGCCATAGAGTTTGGTCTGGTTAAAAAAAAAATCCAAGTGTGAGAAAGAAAGAGCTGTCGACAGAGAAAAGAGTTGTTGTTTTTTTTGTTGTTGTTTTATTTTTGTTTTGGACGGACTGCTGGGAGGGAAACCTCAGGAATTCAACGCCTAATTTCAGGACCGTCATGGGAAGGACTCTGTCCTTAGTTTACGGTGTTTAGCACTTTTGCACCACAAGGAAATCCAGGTTTTGATTGCATGATTTATCTATTTTTTCTCTTTCAGAAATATGGGAAAGAATACATGCAGTATGAAGTGTGTAGAAACTGAGGAATGCAGTAAAGAGAAGTGTGTGTGTGTAAGAGGTGCTGTGGGTGGTGTATAACCAAGAGTGATGGACAGAGATGTGTTAAAATGAGGACAGAAGAATAAGAGAGGGAAAGTGTTGATAAGTAGTGATGAAAATGATATTAAATATGTCTTAGTGTGTTTGTACGGGTGGCTACTGTTGTGGAAATTTATTAACAAAGCCTGCAGACACGATGAGCAGTTAAATGGTGATAGCGGCTTGTCCGTCTCTTTTAGTTGAGCTACCTTAATAAAACTATTTATTTGAACCCTTTTGCCTCCTTGACTCCTTTTTCTGACCCGGACACTTTTTGTTACTTCCCCCTCACCACCTAGACCCCTCAGGGGAACGTAACAAGTGTTGCGGGAATTGCCGTCTTGTGTGTGACTGGGTGCAGTAAGGAGTGTATGTGATCTGTGTGTGAGCATGCGCGTGGAGGAAACGCGGGGAGCGAAAGAGGAAAAAAAGAGAGAGAGAGTGTGCCATGGTTAAAAAAGTTAGCAAGCATCTCCCCTCGCGTCTCCCGACCACGGTCAGGGGACTGACGGCGAGGAATGGTTAACACAAGGATTTAAACTTATTCTACACTAGATTCGACACAGCGAACACCATGAGACCGGACAGTGTGCGCACCGCGGATGACGTCAGTGCGCACACTGTGTCTGAGGAGGATGTGTGGATGTGCTTCAGGAAGGTGAACGCACGCAAAGCTTCTGGTCCGGACGGGATTCCCGGTCGCGTCCTCAGCTGGCTGGAGTGTTCACGCACATCTTCAACCTTTCCCTCTCTCTGTCTGTAGTCCCAGCCTGCTTCAAAATGGCCACCATCGTCCCTGTACCCAAATCCTCCACCATCTCCTCACTGAACGACTGGCGACCTGTAGCCCTGACCCCCATCATGAGCAAATGCTTCGAGAAGCTGGTCAGGGACTTCATCTGCTCTGCACTACCCGACTCACTGGACTCTCTACAATTCGCATAAAGCCACAACAGGTCCACTGATGATGCCATAGTCCTGACACTACATACCGCCCTCTCGCACCTGGAGAAGAGAGACACGTATGTAAGAATGCTGTTTGTAGATTACAGCTAAGCATTCAATACCATTGTCAGGAAATCTGGTGTATCATTGATGTAGCTGGGATGCTTGTTCGGGGTTAGGTAAGAGGCAAGCTAGGTCATATAAAGCAATTTCTGGTGTACTAGCAAATCATGGCCTGGCCACTGTTGCATTTTCCTTCCTTGTGTCACACATGGGTCCATCTTATCCCAGATAGCAAATATTCACTGAAACAATGTTAAATCAATATCAGGCAATTCCATTGAATCAACATCAAAATCTGATATTGAATTTACATCACTTTTGCACCCTCCGTTAATATTAAAACAATGTCAGAATTTGATATTGAATCATTGTTTATTTCTTAGCAAAAAACAATTTCAAGTACAAAGTCATGGAAAGACAAAAAAAAGACCTTTCTGGATCATATTGCACACATATGCAGATGTTTTGAGGCAATTTACTTTGCATACAGCAGCCATAGAGTGAGAGTCAGGGTAAACGGTGGGAAAACCGAATGCAGGGCTAACAAAAGCACCCTTTTAGCTTTATAACGGAAAGACATGAATTTATGACATGAAAATGTTTGTTCAGAGTTAAATGTTTTCCATGAAATGTATACTTTTCTCGTTTTGTATAAGCTAGCTTTAGAGATATCATGTATGTTGTAAACCAAATTGACTATGTTGTAGAACTCAAGCTATTAAATTCCAAGACTTGGTGAAGCTTAAAACAGCTCAAATAATATATAAAGTAAGAAATAAATTGCTTCCCAAAGAAATCTGTAAATTGTTCATAGAAAGAGAAGGTGGGTATAACTTAAGAGGGAAATGGAATTTAAAAATACAAAGTGCTAGAACAACTTTAAAAACGATGTCTATCTCAATTGCAGGAGTTAAATTATGGAGCGGTCTAACAGAAGAAATAAAAGACAGTAAAAACATAAAACACTTTAAAGTAAAATATAAAAACCTAATTTTAAATAAGTATAAGAATGAAGAAAACGGGGTTAACCCAGGATGGTAATGTTGCTGGTAATGGTGTTGTGGTTCTTTTTTTGTTTTTTTGTTTTGTTTTGTTGTTTTTCCATAACTTGTGTATCTGCAAATATACACATTCTGTATTTTTCATATGAAAGAAACTATACTGTGGTGGGGCTTGCTAATTTCTTGTTTTTGATTTATGTATGTTTTGTTTTGTTTTGCTTTACTTCATATGTTTCATATGTTTCATATGTTTCATATGTTGTTTGTTTAATTTAAGACAAAAAAAAATTTAATGAATGAGAGGTCAAACTTGAGGGGGTAGGGACAAATAAGTGAATACTTCTGCCTACTCCTTTTCAAACAAATAATGGAATGATATTTTGTATGATTGTGAAGGCACATGTTTGAAATGTTTGAGATAAAAATGAACTGAACTGAACTGAACTCTATAATAAGCAGAAGATAGTCAGCATGTTTTGTTTTATTGCTCTACCTAGAAAGTTATAACTGATTAAGACCCCCAAACACAGATCAAACACAAAATTGCTTAATGGACTTGGTGACAAACCTTTTGAACCCAGATAACGTAAACATTATTTTATAGCTTTACAACCCGGTGATGGTAAGGTCTTGCAGTGGATAGAGTTCCTGCCCCCCCATACATATATTGTATCATATCATATCAAATTTATTTATATAGCACATTTAAAGACCAAAGTACACCAAAGTGCTTTCCAGTAAAACCATGATACAGATAAAAATCACAATATAAAATATAAATTTCAGTTTTGATCTCTCATTAGGAGAGATCAAGGTTTAAAAAGTACTGTTTTAGACGTGATTTAAAAGATTGAACAGAATCTGATGCGTGAATATCAAGAGTTAGATTATTCCAGAAATTGGGTGCGGCAATGGCAAAGGCGCGGCCTCCTCTGGTCTTCAGCTGAGACCTAGGTTGCACTAATAGCAGTTGGCCTGATGGTCTTAGCTGATAGCTGGTCTGTATAGCCCTAAGAGAGCACTAAGTAATCAGCTGCCATATTATTTAGGAGTAAACAATAAGATTTGAAAATCAATTCGATATTTAATGGGAAGCCAATGTAAGTTGGCTAGAACAGGGGTGATAGAATCATACCTTCTAGTGCCAGTTAAGAAACATGCTGCAGCATTTTGGACCAACTGCAATCGCTGAAGGAGGGAAAGTTGGAGGTC